CCTTCAGGTTCTCTTACTCTCAAGTACTGGGAGAGCAGCTGATGCTTAAGGGAAGGTCACCAAAAGACATAAAAGGGAAATTGGGATTCTCAATTGCACTCTACCATAAGAGAGAAAGGTAACTAGTCCTCAGATTTCTAAGCTATCCCTATCACGAGGCACTTACAGCTGATCTCCCACTGTTTTGATCTATGCTTGAAAACCTCTGCCCCGTGTCAGGAAGACTCTCCTTCCTCACCTGCATCTAGTTCGGCTCTCCCAGGAGCAGTGGGCAGGGACTTGGTCTTTAACCTCCCAGCTCTCCTCCTCCAGGAGCGTGTCAGAGGTGGAGCGGGGTCTTGTGTTCTGCCTCAGAGCTTTGTCTCCAGCCAGAGGCCTCTGGGAATGGGGTGGTTCACCGGAGCCACTCCTTTCAGGAAGAGTTCTGACCTCAATGCCTTCATATGAATGAGGTTCCAAAAGGTTCCCCAGGGGCCGGGTGGGTTGGATGGAGCGACTTTCTTGGGACCTTTCTAGAGCCCAAAGGGGCTGAGTAATTGGTGGAAAGAGCAGGGACTCACATCTATTTTATGGTTCTCTGTGTCTGCAGGGCCCACAGCCTCTGGAGCCCAGCAGGAGCTGGTGGGTGCCATCGGTGGATCTGTGACTTTCCCTCTGACACACTCACTAGATCGGATTGACAGCATTATCTGGTTCTTTGGAAGTACTACTCTTATCACCATACAGCCAACAATGACAAACAAACCAGACACTGTCATAGTGACTAAAAATCATAACAAGGGAAGGTTAGGCTTCTCGCACGGGAACTACTCCCTGAAGCTCAGCAAACTGAGTAAGAATGACTCAGGTGCCTACTCTGTCCAAATACACAGCCCGTCCCTCCAGGAGCCCTTCGTCCAGGAGTATGGGCTGCGTGTCTATGGTGAGTACAATGCCTGCCCTGGTAAAGTGGTAAACTCCCTGATATTGGAGATGTTTAAGCAAAGGCGGGATAAACACTTGGCAAGAATGTGGAAGATGGAACTCCTGCGATGGCTGAAGTGATGCAGCTTACCCCTGAGGTCCCCTTCTACTCAGAGATTCTGTAAGAGGCAGTGTGGTGCAACAGGTGGGTGAAATGGGAAGTGCAATCACACAGGTCAGATGCTGGCTTCTCTGTTTACTAGCTGCATGGTCTTAGCCAAGTTACTTACTCTCTCTGAAACTTAGTTTCCGTAATTGTAATGGGGAGGAAAGTGATGCCTGTTGTAGAAAGATTATCAGGTATAAACATCAATCACACCTTTCTCTACATTCCAATCAATTGAGAAATAGACACAAGAATTGAAAGAATGATAAAAATAGCTTTATTTTGCCTTGTGTAGGTGGCTCAACTGGTTGGGCATCTTCACTCACACTGAAAGATTGTAGGTTTGATTCCCAGTCAGGACTCATACCTAGATTAGGAGTTTGATCCCAGGTGGGAGCAAGTACTTGAGGCAACCAATTGATGTTTCTCTATCTCTATCTATCTCTATCTCTATCTCTCTATCTCTCTTTTTCTTCCCTTCCTCTCTCTCTAAAAATCAATAAAAACATATCCTTGGGAGACAATTATAAAAAATAATGTTAAAAAAAGCTTTATTTTTTCTTTTAAAGCAATCTAGGAGAAATATTTTTTCCCAAGTCTAGACCTTGGAGCCTATTCAAGAAAGATGGATTTACAAAACAATTATTCAACCAGCTAGCTACAAGAATAGCTGCCTCACTCACTGAGATGCACTATCACAGACACCAGGCGATGGCCCTCCAGGTTTGTTTGTAGGACGTAGGCCAGTGGTCTGCAAAGCGCGGCTCGCGAGCCACATGCGGCTCTTTGGTCCCTTGAGTGTGGCTTTTCCACAAAATACCATGTGCGGGCGAGCACGTACAGTGCGATTGAAACTTACTGGCCCATGAGCAGAAGTCGGTTTTTGGCCTGGGCTAGTCTATTTTGAAGAAGTGGCGTTAGAAGAAGTGGGGGTACGTTCGCTGAGGTCGACCCCTCAGATTGAGGACGTTTGTAGCAACGGCCAGATTAGGAGTGCCGTAATTAAGTTAATAACAATGTACCTACCTATATAGTTTAAGTTTTAAAAATGTGGCTCTAAAAAGAAATTTCAATCATTGCACTGTTGATATTTGGCTCTGTTGACTAATGAGTTTGCCGACCACTGAGCTAGGGAAGGGTGGAAAAGGCAAAACCCATTTAGCAACAATCTTCAAAGTTCAACCACAAGTACAGAAATGCAGATGATAGAAGTCAGACTCTTACCATCTGAGCAATGAACCCATTGCTCATCCTCTGTGAGAGAGGAGTGAGCACTGAGTAGGGAGGGGCCCCAGAAGTGTTGTTCATCCAGAAGAGTTCAGGGAAAGTCTCTTCAAGGAAGCCTAAGGACAAAGAAATGGAGAGCCTCTAAAAACGATAAAATTAGCTAACACCTAAAATACATTGAACACAATGCTTGCCATATGGCTGGGCTTAGTAACTGGCAGCTGCATTCTTGTGGACTTGTTATTATTTACTCGAGGCTGGGTGCATGAAATTCATGCACAGGGGAGGGGAGGGTCCCTCAGCCCGGCCTGCACCCTCTTGCAATCGGGGACACTTTGCAGGATGTCCGACTGCCAGTTTAGGCCCAAGCGCAATCTGGGACCACTGTTTCCTAGCTGCTAGTGTGCCTGCCTGCCTGCCTCATCACCCCTAGCTACTCGCGTGCCTACCCGATCACCCCTAACCACTCGCCTGCCTGCCTGATCACCCCTAACCACTTGCCAGCCTGCCTGATCACCCCTAACCACTCTGCTTGCCTTCCTGATCACCCCTAACTGCTCACCTGCTTGATCATCCCTAACTGCCTCTGAATCGGCCCCCGCCACCATGGCTTCCTCCAGAAGGACATACGGAATGACGTCTGGAAGGTTGTTTGACTGTCCAGTCTAATTAGCATATTATGCTTTTATTATTGTAGATCTTATTATTGTTTTTGTTGTTGCTGTATAGCTGTGGACAAGCAGACCTAGATAGTTCTCTTTTCCAGATAAGAATGAGAATTCTGCTCTCAATTGCCACTTCTGCTCCACTCTGCAGCACCTCAAAGAGGTTCAGGTCCAGGACTTATAGAATAATTTAGAAAAGGAGTGCTATAGGCATAGTTGCCACCCTTGGTTGTCCATTTCTCTTTTATAGAGCACCTATCAAAGCCCAAAATCACCTTGGGTCTGAAGAGGAATAAAAATGGCACCTGTGTGACCAATCTGACATGCTTCCTGGAACGGGGAGGAGAGGATGTGACTTACAGCTGGAAGACCCTGGGGAAGACCTCCAATGAGTCCCATAATGATTCTGTCCTCCCCATAACCTGGACGCTGAGGGAAAAGGACATGACCTTCATCTGCATGGCCAGGAACCCCATTAGCAGCAACTCTTCAAACCCCATCTTTGTCCGGAAGCTCTGTGAAGGTGACTGTCCCTCCCCTTTCTCTAGAAGCCTACAGTCTCGGGAGCAATGCCTTCTTTAGCTCCTGGTCCCCATGGGAATGGGCCCTGTGTAAAAACTGGAGGCCCCTGGGAAGTCACCAGACTGGGAGAAAAGTAGCAGTTGCTCTAAAAGTTGGGTCATTTTCCTTAGCTAACTCTGCTTCCTTCCCTGTGTCTCCACCCATTCTCTCTTTAAAGGGATTGCTGGTGACCTAGGTTCCACCATGGGCCTGTGGATTTCCATGCTGCTCATTGTCCTTGTACTGGTGTTAATTATTTTGACTGTGTGGAAACAGACAAAGAAAGGTAGAGCATGTACCATTTTTGTCTCCGCTCTCATTCATG